AAGCATTTAAAAAAATTTTTTGAACCAACTGGAAGAACACCAAGCTCCAACTATAAAGAGGGCTAGACATAAAATTTGCTCAACGGGATACGATATTTTATAGGAAGATAAAAAATATCGTTTTTTTTGTAGGAATTTTTTGTAGGAATCAATTAATAATCAAGGGCAAACTCAACTCGAATTCATTTTGAAACTTATATTGGAGACTGCTGCTTCAGAGTCTTTGATCATGGGTCCAATGAGATTTTGATAGGGAGAATTCAGTTTAACTTTGAAGTCAAATTTCAGCAAGGCTTTCATAGTAACGTCACCCTTGATGCTCTTGAAAGGCTTCTTGCATTTAACACATTGTTTTAAATGTGACAATCATTAAATTTTAGAAGATATGTGATTAAGATTATAACTAACTTCATGCTGTTAAGTGGCCCGGGAAGGCAAAACATGGCTCAGACCTAACCTGCCTCTCTCAGGGAGCAGTGAGAAAGGAGAACTTGTGACTACGACTCACCCTTGCACACACCAGACTTTCCATCCTTTCCTCTTTGTTGTTCATTCTTTCCCAATTATCAGATGCCTGAGCAGAAACATTATGATCTCTCCAGAACATAGTACTGAATCAGCCTATAGAAAACTAATGTAATTACTATGTTTATTTCCAGATGTTAACTTAATGCCTGCCTATTAAAACTTCTAAAGATGAAGCTCAAAACAAATAAACATTCTGAGGAAGCACCCAAATGAAGACACACCAGCAAACTTAGTGATAATCGGTGTAAATGGTAAAAATCTCCAGAGAGGGTATTTTAGAAATTGATTCCCTCCGTCACAGGCTGGTAACAGCAGTCAAAATTTCCTTAGCCCTCTTCAGCCTTTCTTTCCAAAGAGCCTCCAAATTCCTTGCTGCCCCTAGTCCTTAAACTCTTTCCATTGGTCTTTCTTGCCTGTCCACCTCCACTCCACCCCCTAAGTCGTCTATGACATCCTTGTGATGGTTAATATTGAGTGTCAACCTGATTGGATTGAAGGATGAAAAGCAGTGTTCCTGGGTGTGTCTGTGAGGGTGTTGCCAAAGGAGATTAACATTTGAGTCAGTAACCTGGAAGACTCAGACTCACCCTCAGTCTGGGTGGGTACCATTTCATCAGCTGCCAGCATGGCTGGGATAAAAGTAGGCAGAGGAAGGTGGAAGGACTGGACTGGCTGAGTCTTCTGGCCTCCATCTTTCTCCCATGCTGGATGCTTCCTTACCTTAAACATCAGACCTCAAATTCTTCCCCTTTTTGATTCTTGGACTTACACCAGTGATTTCCCAGGGGCTTTGGGGACTTTGGCCACACACTGAAGACTGTACTCTCAGCTTTCCTACTTTTGAGGTTTTGGGACTTGGACTGGCTTCCTTGCTCCTCAGCTTGCAGACTGCCTATTGTGGGACTGCACTCTGTGATCCTGTGAGTCAGTACTCCTTAATCAACTCCCTTTCATATATACATCTATCCTATTAGTCCTGTGGCTCTAGAGAACCCTGGTTAATACATTCTCCTGATTGCACTGTGGTATTTCACTACATATTACACCCAGGGCTGGTTTCCCATTTAGAGTTTTGAAATTCAAAGAAAAAAAAAACCATTTTGTTCAAAATGGTCTCCTGTCCCTCCTCCTGCCTTCCCTGCACCTCACAAGGAGAGGTAGGGTGGGTCCTAAAGCCACATTGTCGATGAGCTTTCTACTACTTGGTCTCCTATATCCTCAAGCAGTTTCCAGGCTGTCAGAGCCTTGGTTTTCTCATTTATAAAAATTTGGATAATCATACCTATTTCCTTGGATTGATGGAATAAAAAGGATAATTTATATCCACAGTGGCTGGTGTGTTATAAAAGCTCAGTAGATGGTATTATAATTATTAACTCTAGGCATTTTGTTACATTTCATCTTCTAAGCTTTTCTAGCCTCTACCTATAAATTATTGGTTTAGTTGAAATAATTCTCCCTGCCCTTTAGAATGGCTTAACTTTTTTTTCCTGATTCAAGTTTTTGTTGTATCCCTGGATTCCTGAAAAGTGAGATGTACAAAAACTCAAAGACTAAATACAATGCACCACCTTGCAGTGTAGTTTGTTTGGTTCTAAAAATCACTAGGGAAGAGAAATTAATCACTTACATGGGATTTTTGGGGGGTAATATTCTAGCATTGCAAAAATTGTTCTTAATTTAATCTTAATTATATTCTTTATACTGGGCTAAATAATTATATTCTTTGAATATTAATTCAAGCTTCCATCAAGTGATTTTTAAGTCCAACTGCTTAGTTGTCTCTTCTCAATATTGCCAAGCTACACATTTCTAGTCTCTCATAGTGAATTTCTAATTAAATTTCTTCCCCATTTCTTTACTTCCTAGAGTCTGTTCCTGGACTGAGGCACCAATGGTAAAATGATGGAGATAGCTTTCATAAACCAAAAATAAAATTCGAAGCCCCTGCAACCATCCGAATGGACTCCCTCCTCAGCCAGGGCGCTCTTACAATTTAACCTGAAAGACTGGTTCAGGCCATGATGGGAAGTGGCGGTTGGACATGCCTCATTATAACCTCTCCAGCATTAATATCAACACAGACTTTAAGTCTGATAAGAAACACTTTACAACCTATTCTCTCTGAAGCCTACTATCTGTAGGCTTCCTCTGCAAATAAGAACTTTGGTCTCCACAATCCTTTATCCTAATTCAGGCTCCTTTCTATTAATCCCAGGTCTTTAGAGAAACTCAACCAATTGTCGATAGGAAAATTTTTAAATCTACCTATAAGCTAGAAGCCCCCCAGCTTTGAGTTTTGCTGTCTTTCTGGACCAAACCAATGTATTTCTTAAATGTATTTGATTGAAGTCTCATGTCCCCCTAAAATGTATTAAATGTAAAACCAAGCTGCACCCTGACCACCTTGGGCACATGTTCTCAGGTCCTCCTGAGGGCTGTGTCAGGGGCCATGGTCACCTTGGCTCAGAATAAATGTCTTCAAATATTTTACAGGGTTTGACTCTTTCTGTTGACACTTTAGATAACACATTTACTTCATTCAAAATTATTAGCTTCCAAATTATACTCATGAGATATAGCTAAGATTCAATATCAATAACTTTGGTGGCCTGAGATTTTATTGTTAAAATAATGATTTCTACTAATGTTAAACTTTAAAAAGCAAGCACTCACAGCACCAATTTTTGAGATTAAGTAAAATTGGTTTCTACAATACTTTAAACAAATCTAAAACTAAACTGGAATTCAGTATCAACTTGTTCATTTTTATTCCTCTTATGAGATAAAATCCAATATTGGTCAAATCACTATAATTAAGCATTATTATTCTGGACAGTAATCCAAATAAAGAAATATAAAAATTAAATACTGATAAATGGTTCTCATACATATTTCAAAAAAGTGTGACATTAAAATTGGTGTACACAGCTATACATGTATCCTTATCTATTATTAATGTATATAATTATCTCCAAATGTATTAATGATTTTTTTTCAATGCATATTTTACAGTTGAGAGCTACTATTTTGGGGAAAATTGATGGCTATTTCTGAGCCACAGAAAAAAGTGTTTACACCTTGTCATAGACCATTTTGTGCTGCTATAATGAATAACATATTCCATAATACCTGAGACTGCCTAATTTTAAAGAACAGAGATTTATTTCTTATGGTTCTGGAGGCTGGAAAGTCCAAGGCCAAAGGGCTCACATCTGGTAAGGCCTTTTTGTGGCATCCACACATGGCAGACAGGCACGAGAGCACACAGGAGAGATCAAGAGAGGGTAAGAGGGGGCCAAACCCACATTTAGCTGGAACCCACTTCCATGATAATGGCATTAATCCTTTCATGAGGGTGAAGCCCTCATAGCTTAGTAACCTCTTTCTTAATAGTTCCACATGTTTCTACTGTCACAGTGGCAATTTCATTTCAACATGAGTTTTGGAGGGGACATTCAAGCCACAAGACACCAGATTCAGTGGCATCATCATGTGAATCTGAAGCAATCCCTCCAGGGATGTACCCTGAGATTTTTCAACTACCATTTCCTCTTAAAAATTGGTTTTCGGCTGGACGCGGTGGCTCACGCCTGTAATCCCAGCACTTTGGGAGGCTGAGGCGGGTGGATCATGAGGTCAAGAGATCGAGACCATTCTGGTCAACATGATGAAACCCCATCTCTACTAAAAAAAATACAAAAAATTAGCTGGGCATGGTGGCACGTGCCTGTAATCCCAGCTGCTCAGGAGGCTGAGGCAGGAGAATTGCCTGAACCCAGGAGGTGGAGGTTGCGGTGAGCCGAGATCGCGCCATTGCACTCCAGCCTGGGTAACAAGAGCGAAACTCCGTCTCAAAAAAAAAAAAAAAAAAAAAAAAAATTGGCTTTCTTGCACTGACTTTTGGAGGACTTTTTGTATTGTTTGAATTATTTCAAGTTTAAAATAATTTCACATCTCATCTGAACATTTGTGGTAGTTTTCTTTTTTTCTTCTTCTGTGTTGTTATTAATAGAGTTGTCTGTGTTTACAATTTGTATCTTTCTTGTGTCATTTTCCCACAGAATATATATTTGTCTGCAATTCCTTTGGATTTCTCAGGGAAAGCATTATTTCTCATGGCAAGCATTATTTAGAATATCTGCATCAGGCCTGTTCCAAGTTCCAGGGAAAAACTTATTTAATTCCACTGAGCAGGTACAAGTAATGTTAACAGGGATTCAAATAGCGAGCAATTGTACATTTTTGCCTATACATGCAGTTCCCACTTCTTGCTGAATTCATATGATTAATTTTCTGTGTGATTTATTCATTCATTTTGTTTACTGTATTACTGCAAAATAGAAGAGTAAGATCTGGGGTTTTTAATGATCTTAACTGATGTTGTAAGCGACAAAATGTTATCTGGTCATGGCTCATCATTTTTTTAGGTGTTTCTAAACGCCGTATTCCTGGTGTTTTTGTGAGCTTACCTTGTCTGACGGCTAGTGTGGTTGTATAGACCAAGAAGAGAAGAATGTAATTGAGGAAACTCTGGAAGACTGGTGTGTTGGCGTGGAAATCTTCTGACAGATACTTGCTAGTCAACCCAATTCCACAAATAAGGAGGGATAACACCTGGCCCAGGGCCACAGAGATTAACATCTCCCTGAGAAATAAGGAAAAAAAAAAAAACAGCAAAGATCAGCAGGAAGCCAATTAAAACAGCAGCTAAAATTTTTTTTTACACTGGTAGCATGCACTGGGTTAAGTGCAAATAAATATTATTCCCTTTAGTCCTTTACAGAAATCCCTCAAGGAAGGTGCAATGATTACTGAGATTTGACAGACGAAAAAACCAAAGCTTAGAGTGGATAAGGAGTTTGTTCGCAGTCATGTAACTAGGAAGTGGCAAAACTGGGATTTGAGACCAAATCTCTCCAAAAGAGCCTAGCTTCTAGCTACTGATCTCTGGGTGCCAATGGGAGTGGGAAGGGGGTGGGGAAGAACATCATGTTGATGCTCACCATAGTATTAATGAAATATTTAGTGATGGTGACAGAGTACCTGAACACTGACTAGGAGGGACTATATTCCTGCCTCATTCTCAGGTTCTTGTACCAATAAAGGGAGACTCATTTCTTTATAGATTGAAATCCCAGATCCAGAAACCCCTAGGTGAAGGGGTTATACAAACCCCTGAAAACCAGAAGGACCGTCTGCTGTCCATTCCCAAACTTTAGAACTCAGTTTGCTCTAGGCAGCTTCGATGAGCATACAATTGCGTACACATTAAAACTGCTATTCATGAAGGAGATTCAGTACCGTGGTGGTGCAATACAACCTTTCAAATGATGCCAATTTTTTGTATTATACTTTAACTTCTAGGGTACATGTGCAGTTCGGCAGGATTGTCACATAGGTATACACACACCATGGTGGTTTGCTGCATCCAGCCCCCCATCACCTACATTAGGTATTTCTCCTAATGTTATATGTCAATTTTTTTTGTGTGTAGCTTTTTCATAGGCAGTGCCCCTGCAGACCTCTGTAGTGGGGACTACATGCAAGGGTCAAGGTGTTTATTTTGCACACAAATAAAATGCCTCACAAGCTTAACGGTCACATACACCTACATGCTTTTACACAGAAACAAGCCTTGGAAATACAAAGCAGGTTTCTGCCCTCCCTGAAGTCTCATCTGACTTGTCTGGTTTACTTATAGAAACAGTAATATAATAGAAGCAAGCAGTAGTATTTCTTTTATTAAAAGCTTTATTTTATTTTTAATTGACAATAGTGGTACATATTTATGCAATACAGTCTGATGTTCCAATACATGTTTACATTGTATAATAAATCAGAATAATGGTCAGATCAAATATTTATCATTTCTTTGTGGTGAGCACATTCAAAATCTTTTCTTCTAGCTATTTTGGAATATACAATATATTACCGTTAACCATATCACTCCACTTTGCAATGCAGTATTATTTCTAAACAAAAAGCTTTAAGCAAAGGATTTGTGGTGTTACATATTTCCTCCCCCCATAACAGATGTGAGTCCACTTTTCTGGAATGAGCACAGAGTCCTGGGCAGTACTTTGGTGGCATTTCGCTTTAAAAAAGAAAAGCATCAGTTATATTTTGTTCATTCCATCTGCTTCCATGAGGAGGAAAAATTGTGGCAAGGCACGTGGGCATGCAGAGATTTTTCTGAGGTTAACCTATTTCCAGGTACTGGCTCCTGACCTCTGAATTCAATCTCTATAAAGAAGCCAAAGACATACTTATAAACATCCATGTTTAAAATATCAGTATGCTGCTTAAAATCTTACAACAGTTCCCTACGGAATGCAGAGATCTATAAGTTCTGTGGTAGAACATCTGCAAAGATGTCTGCTGACATTACCTTTACTCTTACCATAACATTCCTGGTGCTCTGCCCAAAGGGAGGCAGGGGTGTCTTCCTCCTTTTCTGGAAGCTGAGCTGGTCTTGTGACTTGCTCTGACCAATAGAATGTGGGGAAGGGATGCCATCTGACTTCTGGGCCCAAGCCTTACAAAGCTCTGCAGTTTCCATTTTTTGCCCTAATAAAATACGGCTTCCATGTACTTCTGGTTTAAGAGACCACGTGAAAAAAAGAGAAATCCAGCCGGCCTTCACTGTCCTGACATGTGAATGAGGCTTCTGGATTCTCCTGCCCCTGTTAAACCATGCCAACTTATGCCACCATAGAGCAGAGATTCATCATCCCTGAAGATTGCTTCCTAATTGAAGAACTGTGAAAAATAATATATAAGGCTGTTTTAGGGCATGCAGATGTACAATGGTTTGTTACATGGCCAACAAATAACTGAAATCATGTCCTAAATGCTCTCCCTCCATTCCTACTACATCCAGAGCATGGCCCTCTGTTTCCCTGTATCACTCCTCCATGAAGCAGTTTCAGCCTTACAGAGCTGCTTGCATTTCAGCAGTGAGTCACGGTCTTTGCCTGCGTTCTCTTGTATGTTATTATTTCCAAAATGTTCATTGTGCCTTTGCCAGTCTGACTCTTATGCATGTTTCAAGATTTGGCTTCTATGTCACTCCCTTTGAGAAGTGTTTCCTGTCTTCTCTTCCCTGGGATGTACCTCTTTGTTACTTCTATTTCATTGTATTGAAACTAATGGCTTTAAACCTCTTGCCTCAGCTGGACTGTGATGCTTGTACAATGTTCTTCCCTGTGTCTACAGCTGGGCAAAACCATTCAGAGGAAGTAGAAAATAGGGGGATTCAAAGACAATGCAGAGGAGGCCTAGGCAACACTACACAGTTTAATGAAATAAAAGGGTAATTAATAAAAGAAAGAAAGCTAGAGGTAAAAAAGAAGAACCAGAATTAACTCAAACGATTTTAAGGGCCAGGCACAATGGCTCACACCTGTAATCCCAACATTCTGGGAGGCTAAGGCAGGAGGATCACTTGAATCTAGGAGTTCAAGACCAGCCTGGACAACATAGTGAGTCTTTGTCTCTACAAAAAATTAACAAAATTATCCAGGTGTGATGGCACATGCCTGTAGTTCTACCTCCTTGGGTGGCTGAGGTAGTAGGACTGCTTGGGCCTCAGAGGTCAAGGCTGCATTTGAGCCGTGATCACACCACTGCACTCAAGCCTGGGCTACAGAGCAAGACCCCACCTCTTATAAAAAATTAAAGGTTTTTAAGACTGCTTAAGATAAGTATGATATCTACGGACAAAAATAATGATAAGGAGCTGGTTTTAGTGGAGAAACAATACATATTTTAGGCATATTGAACTTGTGATGCCAGATGCACTTTCAAATGATCCAGCAGCATTAGTAGCATAGGATCAGAGAGGGAAAGAGAGGGCAACCAGGAGATAAATATGCAGAGGTTATAGTGATAAAAGTAACGGCAGAAATACTGGAAATGGATAATATTCCCAAGAAAGGGAGAGTAGGAGAGAACGTAAGAGAACCTTGGGAAAAATCTCTGGAGAATCCCAAGGGTGGAGGTAGGTGAAGGAGAAGCAGCACATCACTGGAGTTGGAAGTGATTAGAAGGCTAGGAGGAAGAGCAAAAGAGTTTTTGGTGTTAAGGAAACTAAGAGAAAAGAGACATCCATGGGTTGAATAGTTGTAATACTGAATGTTGCTTAGAAGGTAGAGAGAATGAAGACTGACAAGACATGATTTGTAGTCACTGCCATCTTTTAAGAGTTTTGGTTGATTGGAGAGTAACAGAGCAATACTGGTGTCATGAAAACCAAGAGAGCAGAGAGTTTCATGGAGGCGATAGCTAGTGGTGACTAAGTGAAAAGGAAATGGTGAGAAAATAAAGGTGTTGGCTTTGCAGAATTTTGAAGAATTCAAAACATTCATTGAAAGAATTTGATATAGTCACCATGTAACACAATACCAATGACGGTTGAAATAATAATGTTTAAAATGATTTAAATATTAATTTAACTTATCATTGGGTCATTCTTATTTGCATAATAACTTACATTCCTAAATGGAAGAAATATGGATAGCGTTACAATAAATGTATGAGTGTTGTTCTTGATGCTAAGTATGTCTTTTGGAGAATGCTGTGTATACAGTACATCTCTTTGGGATAAGACGGGTGAAAACTATTGCTATGACATGGATTCCTGCATCTCTATAAATTACAACTATAGTGTTCAAAACCTTGGCAATATCCTATGCTTTTCCTGAACAAAATCACACCACAAATATATGACAGATTACTTATATAAGAGAATATAATTTAGTCTTTCTTATGTATATGTGCCAATATAGTATAAAGCAACATTCTATATGCCACACACTATATATATATAAAGATGAACAGAACATAGTCCTTGTCACTAGGGAGCTACTAAACCAAGATTTGGGAGTTAGATCCTCAAATAACTTAGTACAAAATGGAGTTGCTCAAGTTAAATCAACAATAATAATTCATATTTAATAAGTGCTTACTATGTGCCAAACCATGGGCTTAGACTTACACATACTATCTTAGTTAATCCTCATAACCTTACAAGGCAGCTATTATTATTGTTCCATTTTATAGATAAGTTAACTGATGCTTAGAGAAGTTAAACAAGCAGCCCAAGATCACAGAGCTCACAAGAGAAAGAGTTTGGATGAAAACTAGGTTATGTGGTTCCAAATCTCAACTTTTAAATTACTATGCTATACTACTATTATGGTGGCAAAAATATACTCTGTGCCCTCATAGAGTGCAAGAACTTATAGCTAGAAACCTAAGTGGTTGGTTTCCAGAAATATTCTAGAGAAGGTAAAGACAAAAACTGGCCCCCTGATGAAAACTCTTCCATCAAGATATCTGTAATGTGTTCCTTTCAACAAGAGGTCAGTACAAGTCTATTCTTGTTTCTTCAGTCAAACAAAACATCAAGTCTGCCGTATTCAATTTCTGCTTTTAATCAGTGGCCATGTCATTCAGCTCCTGCTGATGTGATTTGATGGAGAATATAAATTATGGTTTTATTGGTCATGCTAATGAGCATGACATGTAAAACAGGAAGGAATGGAAGGAACCTTTTATCACATTAGTTTATGAGTCTTTTTCCTACTGCAGGGAGCTAGATATTGTAGCTATTGCAGCCTGCACATCTGAGCTAGTTCCTAGAGT